AGTCCAGGCAGAGGGACTGCAGGGTCCCAGAAAGCTTCTCTCAATAACCAGCCCTCTCAACCCTTAGGTCATTGGCCACCTGCTGCATTTGTTTTATACTGTTGGATAGTGAATACCAGAGATTTAGTGGCTCAAAACAACAAGCATTTGTTATCTTGCACATTTGTTATCTCACACTTTCTGTGGGTCAAGAATTCAGGCATTGGGTATCTGGGTTCTCCTCTCAAGGGTCAGGAATTCAGGCATTGGGTATCTGGGTTCTCCTCTCAAGGTTGACATAAGGCAGAAATCAGGTACCCACCGGGCTGCAGTCTTTTCAGAGTCTGTAGGTGAAATGATCCAGTTCCTTGTTAATTGTACAGCTGATGTCCCTGTTTTCTTGCTGACTGGTGACCAGTACCTGCTCTCAGCTACCCACATGCCCCCCCTCTGTGTGCCATCCGCAGCAAGGCTGTCTGCTTCTGTAAAATCTGCAGGTGAATTTCTAGACAGTCTGCTCAGCTGGGGTCTTATATAGCATCGCCTAACTGAGGGAGTAACTAGTCCATGGTAGTTGAGGGAAGGGTATGATACAGGGTGAGAGTACCAGAACATATGAATCGTGGGGACCACCTCAAAATTCTGACCACACACCTGCAATTTATCATATCTAATGAGAAAATGTCACTTCCTTTGATACTTGACTTCTGGAACCATTGACACTGATTCTCACTACTACCTTGAAATTCATACAGTGATCTTTTCTTGTCTCTCCAAACAGAACTCATCCATCCAAGTCCACTCCAACCCTGTATTTCCTAACACCATGACTGACACAACCATCCCCCAGTATCAATATAAAGATAGTGGCTGAGATCATGGATTCTTGAGTCTAAGTGCCTGAGTTCAAATCCTGGCCTTGTCATTTACTAGCTACATAAGTCTATGCCAGTTATATAACCTCTTCTCCTTTAGTTTCCCCATTTGTAAAACAAGAGTGATAATAGTACTGATTCATAAGATTGTGCTGAGGATTAAATCAGTTAATGCATGTATAGTGCTTAGAAAACAGGAGGGACTGTGGTAAGCACTTGATAGATGTTAGTGGTTAATAGTCTATCCTACTACCTAGCATAGTAAAAGCATCAATAAATATATACGGAGAGAAATGATGAATGCCTCTGTTTTAGCTTAGACTCATTGCCTTTGCTTGACTATTGCAGTAGCCTCCTCACTGGGTTATGCTAACCACCATTCCCCTACTCCATTCATACTGCTCACCACCCTTAGGGACACACTTCTAATATTCATATATGAAGCTATTTTGTCCCTCTGCATTGCTTTGCACAATCCAGTGACTCCCCAACCCCCACATGGAGCCAAAGCAAACTCCAAACTCCTCATCTCAGCACATGTACAATGACCTGTGATCTCCTCTGCCTACCTACCTCTTGATCCGTGCATTTTCCAAACCACCAGCAGTTCCCAGAACAAGCCACCTTTCTTTATTCTTTCCATGCCCAGATTTCCAATTTCCTCTGCCCTGCCCAGCTGATGAAATTATCATCTTTTGTTTCTGATGCTAGAGATTAAACCCAGGGTCACTTTACCACTGAGCTACATCCCCAGGCCTTGTTATTTTTTATTTTGCCTTGTTATTTTTATTTCCCTAAGCAGCTAAGGGCCTGGTTTAGTTGCTGAAGCTGATCTTGAACTTGTAATCTTCCTGCTTCAGCCTCCTGAGTCATATTATCAGTTTTTGCCTATAGCATCTGCAGCACCTGGTCCCAGACATGAGGGTTTCCAGGCAGAGTTAGATCTCTATGTCACTATAACATTTATCAAATAACCATTTGTTTATATGTCAACTCCCCCAATGGGCTGAAGGCTCCTTTATAGAGAAAGTTAGATCTTAATCAGATTGGTATTCCTGGCAAGAAGCACAAGATATATAGTGGAAGATTAATATATGATTATTGAATGAATGCTTTGCTTTGGGAAGTACCTAATAAACCTTGATATTTGTATTTTCCCGAATCTTGTTTTGCTTGTAACTTTTGAATAGAAATAGTTACTGATGCTTATGTCACAAATTCATTGAGTTTTATTTGTATCCTTTAAAATGAAGATTGCTAGTTATCATTCATTCCCTAACAAATATGTATTGGGAAACACTTATCAGATACTAGAATTGAGGTGAGCAAATCAAATTTGGCTCCTCCCTTATAAGGCTTACAGTCTATTAAATCTATAACTTTGAAGAAAAGACTGACCTTGAGCCATAAATGCATCAATACAAAGTTATAAATCTAAGTGAGAGTTGTAAAGAGAACAGGTTACAAGGAGGGATCTAATTTATACATAAATGCTCCCTGACTTATAATGGTGCTATGTCCCAATAAACCCATCACACATTGAAATATCATAAGTGGGAAATGCATTTAATACTTCCAATGTACTGAACATCAGAGCTTAGGAACACAGAACACTGTAGGTTATTGGTTGTCTGCCCTTGCGATCACATGGCTGACTGGGAGCTGTGGTTTCCTGCCATAGCCCAGCACTGTGAAAGAACATTGTACCATATATGGATAATCCAGGAAAACATACAAATTCAATTCTCAAAGTATGGCTTCTACTGAATGCAAATCATCTGTGGACCATTCTGAACTCAAAAAAGAAAAAAAAATCACAAAAAGATCTACCATAAATCAGGGACCATCTGTAGAAAGTTTAGGGAACTTCTCTTTGAAGCCTTGACACTAGAGGGGATGTGAAAGACTGGATAGGAGTGAGCCAGGAAAAATCATGGGGAAAGAGCATTCCAGCCCATGGAAACCACATGTGCAAAGATCCTAAGCAAGCAAAAGGCAGCTGGTGAGGCAGGGGCTGGGAGTCGGAGTTGAGGGGACACAAACGTTGAGAAACTGTCAGGGGCCAGATCATAAGGCTTTGATCTGAAATCTGGATTTTATCCGTGCATAAGGAAGCTGCTGAAGGTTTAAAACAGGAGAGTGACATGAACCTCTGGGTGGGATCTTCCCATGAGCACTATGTTGTGCTCTGCTGATGTGGGAACAACTCTGGATTTTAGTGGTGAAAACACCAAGAACCCTTATTGTCCCTGATAAGCAAAGCTGTGGTCACCAGCTCCCTCCCCTGAACCCACAGAAGAAAGATAACAGAAGCTCACTTCCAGGGTCACACAGGAGAAGACCTTAAGCTGTCCTGGCTATTCAGATGGAAGTTGTCATCTCCTCCAGAGACCGTATGAGATGAGACATGCCAGGTAGATAGGATCTAAGGGTCCTTCCAATTCTGACATGAGTCTCTGGAGCCCAGTAACTGGAATCAGTATCCAAAGCCAGGTGCCTCACTTGCCAAGGGCTTTGGGTGACCCTGGGAGGCCATAGCACTTCCTAGAATGCTCTTCCCTCTCCCACATAGTCACAGCACTCCTATGATAAGCCTGGCCACACTGATCTGGCAGTGTTCTCCTATGAAGCAGTAAATGGTGGCCTGTAACAAACTCTCCCCCATCTTGCCCTTGGTTCCACAGACAAAAACAGGAACACTCGACTGGCCCAGCAAGGTGTCATTTAGGTCAGGTTCTGGCAGCTGTGGCTCCCAGCTCTCACTATTCTCTGGGTGCCCTTATAGACCTGGCTCCTCTGCCCTGCATATCACCAGAATGTAAGCACCCTCTTCATCTCACAGCTCCTCATACGAGGTAGGGGGAGGAAGGAGGTAGTTTCATCCTCTCTGCATGCAACCCTTTGAGAGCTACTTGAGGCAATTTGTCACTCAGTTTCAAGCTGCCAGCCAAGGAGGGGAGCTGAGAAGACTCTGTAATGAGATCCTTACTCTGTAATTAAGTGCCAGGCTTTGTTTTACACCTATCTTTCCCATGGAGCTGATCACATCACCAGGATCCCCCAGGCAGTGAATGGGGAATGGGAGTCACTCTGTGATTACCCCAGCTCCCAAAGGCAGGTTAGAGGGGAGGGTCCTGTCTGCCCCACCTGTTCCCCCTTTCCCCAGTCTTACTCAAGACAGTGCCATTTCTGTCCTTGAACTGGATTTCACCCCGGAAAGCCATTCCACTGCTTTCTGATTCAACTTCTCTTTCTAACCTTTGGGTTGTGACAGCCTCCAGGGAGACGGTTCTTTCCTTTGACAAGCCCCTTTTCCTGAAAGTGCAACAAATCCCAGCAGCAGAGGAAGGGCAGGAAAAGGAAAGAGAAGTTAGGGCAGAGGAACACCAGACTCATAGGACACAAAGGGTCTGTCCTCTCTTGCATTCTCCCAAATGAGAACTTTCCTTCCTCAAATCACCCCAGCTCACAAACACAGTAGCATGGGCTGACCAGAACCTGTCATGAAGATCATCAGAATTTGCCCTGAAGTTGCGCAGCGGAAAGAGCAAGGCACTGGGACTTTGGACACTTCAGGTCTTTGGACAACACTTCAGGGGTTTGCTGAAGTGTTGGGTTTTGCTTCTCTGTACTACGGAAAGAAAAGGGGCAGTGCTGACCTGGATGATCTCGGTGGACAGACATATTTGGGATCTACAAGGGCCCCTGCAGGACCTCTGCCTCCTCTCGGCGGCCCTTCCCCTGGATGCAGGGTACTCACAGCGGCCAGTTCCCTGCGCCACAAACTTTGGAGCATTTTGTGTTTTCCCTCGACACGTGGACACCTTGTCCAATCCCCCAGGGTCACTGCCACGGAAGCCCGAGGTCTCCTACTTAACAAGAGAGCAAGAGGGGACGGGGCAGAGGGGGCGATGGCAGGCCAAAGGGCGTGTTGCGGTCGGTGGGCGTGGCTTGGCGGTGGGCGGGGCCTCCCTGGACCTGAGGGGCCTTCCCAAGCCCCGTGCATTGCTGCTGGGAGGAGCGAGCTGAGGCTGGAGGAGGGAACCGAGGCTGGAGTAGCGAACGGAGGCTGGAGGAGGGAGCCGAGGCTAGACACGCTCCGGGATTCACCCCGGGAGGTGAGCGTCCGCAGCTGCAAGAGACCAAAGTGGGGCCCGAGTCCCGCGCGCGGGGTGGGAAAGCCGACGCCTTTGGCTGTCGGGGGGCCTCTGCCCCTCCTCCGGCCTCCCCCAGGAGCTGGCCTGGGTAGTTTCCAACTCGTTTCCCTCTGCGATCATCCCATACCCGCATGGCACTCTCAGTATGGCGGTGCTGAGGAAGGTGGGGGTCCCTTGATCCAAGGTGGGGAGGGGAGAGTGACACGTGGATCCCTGTGCCCAACAGGCAGGACAGGAAGAAACCTTAGCAGTATAACTAAGGCATTCTCATACTTGCCTTGGAACAGAGCCATTCTTTCTTGGCAGACTTTTACATTTTTATCCTAGTCCCCACCCTGTGGAAGGAGCAGGTGGCTTGTTCTGAGTTAGCTTTCTCCTTGCCCTCTTGGAAAGGAAAGACACATAGCCACTGCTAGTAGGGCCATGGAGATCCCAGAAAGTCACTGAGATGCTCCACAAAAGGCTTTAAACATCTTGCCCCATAGTGCCAGGTGGAGCAGCCTGGCAAACACTCCACAGTAAAAATTGTTGACCTTTTTTATGTTGGAAAAAAGAAAAAAGAAAAATGTCAGCCTGTGATGATAATGGCCCAGTGGCTCTGCGTCTGTAAAACCACAATTGAAAAGACATTTTATGGGGTGGGTTTGGAACCACATTGTGGTTTGGTTGATTGACTCTCCTGTGGGTGAGATGCTTCCAAGAACACTACTTGAGGCCTCATTCAGTGGAAATCTATAATGGTGGCTTTCTCCCAGGTGTGGGTTAGCTATATGGATACCTAGTATTTGGGACACATCCGTCCAGTATAGTCAACTCTGAACAGCTTGACCCCACTGACCTTCAGATACTGTTGCTGCGCAATAACCCAATCAATGCAATGCCTTGTTTGGACATCAAGTGTGTTTGTAATGCTGTCCTGCTTCTCGGTGCCTGGAAGAGGGGGTTGGTTATCTGATGATGCTAGCTGCCAAGCAGGCGTAATCAGACTCTTGCCAGATGAGTTTAGTTTGATCACTTTTCTCTGCATTTACTCAGGATCTGAACAGTCCATCCAAGATCTCCTGGACACTTTGACTCATTTCACCTTTTTCTCTGGGAAAGAAAACAATGGCCAGGAAATTCCCAGAGTGCCATGCACAGCCAGTCAGAAGGAAAGCCCTGGAGCAGAGCCCTGGAAAAAGTTCTGTGGGGCTAGATGCTAATCCTTCCCTTATCACATTGTGGAGAGGTTCCAGAGGTGTCCCAGAGGAAGGGCCCAGGCCAAAGCTAATTACCAAGCAGTACAAAACCAGTCTATATTTTAACAAAATTGTGATGGTACCCACAGGCTTAATTATCCTAACAGGCACTTATTTCCATCCTAAACAGTGGCACAGGATCACTGCTTTGGACATTTATTCTTTGAGCAGAGCAGGAAGCTTTCTGATTCCATTGTCAGAATGTTTTCAGTTTGGTTTGAGGAGGGAAGACACCTCCTGGGGAAGGCATGTGCATCACAGAGACTTCTTTGTTGATTTCCACACATCTGGAAGTGTGACTGCCCAGCGATGAAATCAGAATCGGTCTATTTGTTCACAGACTTGGATAGGAAGGAAATCCTGGAATGTCCAGTTACTGATTCCAGATGTGTTTGTTTCATTCTTTTTTAAAATTAATTAATTTATTTGTTCTAATTTGTTATACATGACAGCAGAATGCATTTCAATTCGTATTACACACATGGAGCACAATTTTTTATTTCTCTGGTTGTACACAAAGAAAGAGTCACACCATTCGTTGTCTTCTTACATGTACCTAGGGTAATTAAGTCCATCTCATTCCACCATTTTTCCTATCCCCTTGCCCTCTCCCTACCCCTCCCTCCCCTTTGCCCTATCCAAATTTCCTCCATTCCTCCCATGCTCCCCCTACCACACCCATTATGAATCAGTATCCACTTATCAGAGAGAACATTCGGCCCTTGGTTTTTTGGGATTGGCTTACTTCTCTTAGCATGATATTCTCCAACTCCATCCATTTATCTGCAAATGTCATGACTTTATTCTCTTTTAATGCTGAGTAATATTCCATTGTGTATATATACCACAGTTTCTTTATCCATTCGTCTATTGAAGGATTGGTTCTGTTATGGGGAGACGCCTCAGAAAGCACTCTAAGTCCGAATTTCAAATCAAAAGAGAGCTTTATTTACCTGGCCAGGAGCTGTCACCCACCACAGAGACTGAAGCTCTGTGGGTGGACAGCATCTTCCTGGTCCATCCAAAGAGAATATAAGCACAAAAACCACAACTCAGTGACTTGTTTATTGTCATGTAAGCTAGCCAATCATAGAAATTCAAACATTAATAAGTGGGACCTGTGAGCTCTAGGCAAGACTGGAATTTTCCAGTCAGCAAGCAAGCGATAAACAGAAGCAAAAAAAAAAAAGCATTAGCTTTGCAGTTCAGTTGACCACAGTCCTGGGTTCAAGCAGGTGCTGGACAGTCGCATCCTGAATTTGGGCAGGGGTCGGTGGGCAGAGAATCTACTTCAAAGTCACGTAGACCCACAAGGTCATTCAAACCCAGGATATAGCTCACCATGACCACCGCTACATCCTGAGTAGGTTACAATTTGTGGGGTACAAAGTGAAGAAAAGCAATTTTTATAAGAAAACAAACAGCTTTCATTTCAGTTTCTCAGAAACAGTTCTTGTAACAGTGTTTTATAGAAGGCAGCAAAATGGACAGTTCTTGCTTTATAATTGTCTTATCTCACTTATCAAAATCTTATGTCTATAGTCTATATTTTTTACTAATCTATAATCTATAATTTACACTCTTATTGATTGTATTTATTAGTTCACACCACAACCGTTCCATAATTTAGCTATTGTGAACTGTGCTGTTATAAACATTGATGTGGCTCCCTCAACTGTGGAAAAGAATGCAGAAAGCAGATCTCTGAATCTGCCTGAAGCTCTGAATCTTCAGTCAGTTCTCCAAATCTTTGAGTGGTTTGAAGTTCTGGCTTCATAGTTCCCTAATTTGTGAACCACGACCTATGACGTATTCAGCTCTGTGGGGCAAACACAAGTTTGGAGTATGGTTTCTATTATTCTGAAGCCTCCAGGTGTAGATGGGAAGATAAAACCAGCACCTGTGAGATAATTAGAGAGCAATTAAGTACAAAATTATGTGGTATCGTCCTCTAGTTCAAAGATAAAGCCCGGGTATGCTTAGAAAAGGCAGAGAAGACTTTCAGGAACTATTTGGTCTTGAGCTCAGTTTAGAAACCACAAAGACTAGACAGAGTAATAAGAAACTCAGGACAAGCAATGGCACTTGCTGTCCACAAGCTGCACTCTGAACTCCAGCTCTGGTCACTCTTTTCAGGCACACAACCTACTGACCACACCATTTTTTCCTACCCTTTTTTCCCCTTTTTGCTTGCTCTCCTGTGTGCAGGATGCTCTGCTAGGGGCTCCCCTAGATTTTTAAAGCATGCCAATGCTACCTTCTGCAGTGAAGGCTTCCCTGGCTGGCCCCGACTCCAAATTTCTCACAGAGCTGGAGAGCTTCTCCCTTGTCCTCCCATTGCTCCTTGCGTAGACTCCTGTTGAATCTCTTACCATCCTGGAGTTGAGGGGGTCTTTGCCCCACTCACAGAGGCTTTTAGGGAGTCCTAGGCTAGACATCTGATTTTGAAGGTCCCAACAAACAAACTCTGAGGTTCAGCCACTTGCCCCAAAAACCAGACAGAAAAGATAATAATGAAAAACAGGAGGAGATCTTTAATCAATGTGGCCATATTGGAAAGGCAAAGCAAGATCCAGCATCTCAGCCCTGTCTTTGGTTGTTGACAGGAGCTTTAAGTTTAAATAGACGAAGAACTGGGGGAATGTGTGAGGGGTATGCAGAAATAAGCAGTCTCGGTCAAACTGTGGTCTGGTTGATTTGTTCTGTCAATTCTTACTCTGTGAAGTAGCTCCAGGGAAGTCCTGATCATGTGACAATTGCCACTTGCCACTCAGGATGTCTATTAGTCCTGTGATCTTGGAAGGAAGAGTTATTTTCCATGAGATGATTGCCTATGCTTGGGGAGGGAAGAGTCTCATTCTGGGGTGATCTGGAAGATGTAGGGCAACTGCTAAAGACTTGTGAGCACTACTCCAGGGTTCTGAAACAGGATGCTGCAAATCTTGCCCCAGTCTTAAAGGAGGATGAGGTAAGTTAGGTAAATTTAGGGCTAATAAACCTTACGTTATTTTTTTTTTAGATGAACATCCTTAAATGATTATCATGCCAATGTGCAGAGCTGAGCAGATCACAAAATTGAAGGTAATAAAGGAGACGGATACATAGTCATGCAGGGATGCCAAACTTTATCCTGTTTGTCATTACCTATAGGACATCTGAAGGAAGTAAAGAGCCACTGCTTTTAGCCAAATCAGCCTCTCTGAGCCCCTGTTACAAGGCAGAGCTGTGTCACATCTGGGGATCCTCTGAGCCAAAGGTAGTATCTGGCACACAGGAGGCATTTGGTAAATGAGCCTTGATTGAACACCAGCCACATAGAGGGAAGATTAAAGCTCCCACTTACTTGGAGCAGAGGATGTGAGATGTGTTATTGAAGATCTAAGATTGGATCAATTAGGTGGAGCCCATTCCCAGAGCTCTTGAGGGGTGTGAGTTTAATGCAGTGGTAGTTCTCAAAACCCTCTACCGCCCTCAGAATGGAATTCTAGATTCTTTTTGATCTGGCCTCAACATATCCTGTGCAGGCTCAACTCACACCTTGAACAAACAGTTGTTCTTCAGAGCCACCCCAGCTCCAAGCAACACCCCAGCCTGGATTCTCTCTTGCCCTTTGACCGTGCTACTTAGAAGCCTCTGCCAGGACTGCGCACTGCTGTTCCTACCTAACTAACACTGGATCCTTGGGACCCCTTGTGTGTAGCCCCTGTGTGTGCAGGTCCCCTGGGGCAGGGCTATGAGTCCTCAGTGGTCCAGAACATCCCAGGCACATCCTCCAACAGCAATTAACATACCCTCCTGTAGCTGCAGTGACATGGCTGTCTTCCTGATGGTGACTGTGAACTCCTTGATGGCAGCCAAGGGTTTATCCTGGGTGTCATACCATCAGCTAGCTTTGTTCCCAGGAGATGGTTTTCCAATAAACATGTATGAAATGGAAGACTAAAAACAACACTGGGGTGATGAAAATACCAAAGTAAGGAAAAATCTACAGACATTTGAAAGGGGTGGGGGAGTAGGATTTGGTGATTAATTAATTCTATAAAAAGAGTAAAGGACACTGCAGGTAGGGGCAGTGTCCCACAGGGATCAGATTCCTGGCCTAGGAGAAGTCCACTTATCTGTCTCTGAGTTCCATGCAAAAAAAAAAAAATGTTTTTATCTCTTGTAGGATTTTCAAAATGCAAAATGTTTTATCATTTGGGGGCCTAGTTGAGTCTGGTATAAGAGGACATCCAGATGGATGTCCTTTGAAACCAGGAGAGGTCAAGGCTAGAGAGAGATCTTGAGGAAGGAGTGGGCATGGTCCAATTTGTGAGAGCAAAATGTGGTCACTGAGGGAAGAAGCCTACAGCTGAGAGACCCCCGGAGGGCAAAATGCCCAAGCTAAAGGGAGTAGGAGATGGGAAAAGAACTGGTGAGAAATAGAATGGTGGAAAGATAGAAGGGAAATCATGGAAGCCAAGAGAAGATAGCCTAAGAAGAAATAGTGGGCCAGAGCTGTCTGATGCTAACAAACAAACAAACAAACAAACCAAGGAGGTTCAGAAAAGAAAGGAAGAAAGCAAGCTTCAAGAGGGCACCCTTGTAGGAAAGCCAGAGTTCAGGGGTTAAAAAGAGGCTAGTTAGTAGGAAATGGAAACACTGGGGAGAGACTTGGGCTTCATGTCTGAGGAACCTGGCCATGAAATAAAGAATAGATTATTTTGCATGAAAAAGGGGAAGTAGTTGGGTCAAGAAATGAATTTCTGACTGTTTTGTAAGAGACTGATGTGTAGCTTGCGTGCAGGACAAAAGGAACCTGTTTATGCTGAAGGAATGTGGGTAAATTCTCCTGTTCGTATCGATTATATTTTATTTAATGTTTTTTTTTTTTTTTTTTTTTTTTGTTTCCCTTGCAAGTATCTCATAGAACTTTCTGGTGAATTTCCAAAGTCATGGAATCGATCACTAAATCTAAACCACTGGCTGTTGCAATGCCAAAATGAAAATATCATTACTAACATTATAAACTTCTTTCAGAGGTCCCCACGCTTGACTTTCTCTCATAATGGTGGTGGTCATTCTATCCTTTACACAGATTAATAACACCAGCCATAGCAGCAAACACACACACATGGCATTTACTTGGAGCCAGACACTGTCCCAAGTACCTGGGGAAGGTAAAAGGCGAACCAAGGTTCAGACTCAACATGTCTGTCTTCAGGTCCATGCACTTAAACCACCATGCTAAACTGAAAATTAGTAAGTTGGTATTTTATTGTAAATTAATGTTAATGTTCCTGATACTTCTACAAGATTCATAGACAACTCTGACAACGTGGCTTGTCCAGAGTTGCCAAGCCACTAATTCTCCAGACCCAGTTTTGTTGTGTGTCAGACCAGCTTTAGTAGTCAATAAATAATTTAATAGCTATCAAATAATCTACCATGTGCAAAGTATTGCAAGAACCCTGCAAATCTGAGCTGTGTATTCCATCTCATTTGCTCTTCCTAATCACTCCAATTTGGAGACAGGGGAAACGCTGCCAAGATTTGAACTCAAACAACCACAATAAAGGCAAAATCTAATGCCGTTTTCATCTGTGAGTGTTTTGTGATCTGAGATTCCCTCTCATCTTGCTCAGAGGTGTAACTGAGTCCCTGTAATTTTCAAGGCTATCTTTTATTTTCTTTGTCAACATGTTAAACAAATCGATGGTATTCATCTCTAATATGAACATACTCAGATGTGCAAAAAAATCACAACTTTTTCTTTATTTCCTAGATACTGACTTAATATTTGTTTGGAGTCTTCATCTCCCTGGGCAGGGAGCCATAGAAACTGCCTCAGTTTGTATCACAATTGCCAGATTTCACTCATTGCCAAGACCTCAGGGGCAGAGCTGGGAGGCGTTTACTGCCCAGTTCTCTGATCCACACAAGGGGGCTCTTGTCCCTGTCTACTCAGGGACCCCTTCGGTTCCAGTTGGTCTCTACTGCTTCAAGAACACAAGGCTAACTTTTTGGGGTCAAGTCACAGTGCTGTCCTCCTGGGGACCTGCAGACCTCCTTTGCTTTCCGGTTTCTCCCTTGCCTCTCTGCTTCTACCTAGCAACCCCCCACCCCCCTTTCTTACTGTGCCTCCTATCAATGACTCTGTGTCCTCTCCCTACAGCTTTGTTTAGGAAATCAAAGCCAGAAGAACCTGCATGGTACTTCTGAGTACAGTCCTGCTACTTGCCTGCCCAAGAGCAATGACCAGGGGATCTTCTAGAGAGGTGCAGGTGAGCATCGGAAGGTGGAAATACAAGAAGGGGGAAAACAAGTTTTCTAACCTCAGAATATTATCTAGCCATAGATGTAGTCCCCTTTAAGAGCACATTTTTAAGGAAGGAAGAAGTTGCTATTGAAGGCCAGGATATATGTTATAGGTACACTGATAATGTTATTTTCCACTATTTTTTTTCAAGATCCTTGGTAACAGGTTTGCAAATTTGCCAACATGGAGATGAGTATTCTGCTCCGGGGAGGATTGGCTGTGGTCTGTGATTTCTGTCATGATACTCAGCAAGTTTCCTTAGGCAATTTTAGAGTTCACAAGGATGTGAAAACACTACCAGTTCAGATTTGCTATTATACATACATATGGAGAAACTGAGGACACAAAAGTTAAACTTGTCTGGGATGCCCCAGTGGTACCCAAAGAAGGACCCAGATTGACTATTACCCAGCCCAGTGCTTCTGCCATGATTGCATGTATCCTGGGAGTAAACACCACTAGCAAGTTGGAGCCCTGAGTCAGTGTGGAGCACAGCCACCACAGGCAGCCTGCCCAGGCAGATTCACACATAATAAACTTCCTAGAGAGAACGGTGCCCTGGGCACATGGAAGGGACCTGTGCTCCCACATGGGCTGGCTCCTGCTCACAGTCACTCAGGCACAACCATTGAAATCATCTTTTCTCTTCAGTGCCCAGAGACTCACAGAGATCCTCCCTTCTTCTTCACCTCTTTGGGGGCTCACCTTGCAACTGAGGCATCTGCATAAGCTGCAGAGCCAACATGGTTTTACGTACCTAAGGAGTTTAAGAGAAATGCAGACTACAGATTCCCAGGATGGTTCTCAAGTGTTTTATAATTTCTCTTCCCATTTCCATTCTCTGCGTATAACTGATCACAGTTGAATAGGATTTCTATTCCCTGTTCACACCTCCCACCCTGCCCCAACCTCTTTCAATTTACATCACAGTCCAAATGATTTTTTTGCTGCTCCGAGCAGATTGTCTGTGTCATTACTTTCAGGGGATGCTATATTGGACTTCCCAGCTCTAAGCTCTCCAGCTCCCTGACCTTGCAGTTACCTAGCTCTCCTGGCAATTTACTTCGCCCATCAATACACCAGGTTTAGCTGAGTTGCATTCGGGGAGGCTGTCAGAGCCTGCCATGTTAATTTTCTAATTGAGAATATGAGCACAGACTGAACGGGGAGACAGGTAAGCATGTTCACTTCCTAGGTGAGCTCTCTCTCCCTGAGGATTTTGGATGTGTTGTGCGAGTAGTTCACTTTTCAAAAATCATCCAGATGAAATTATTTATTTTAATCAGATGCCTTTAAAACTGTGCTAATGAGTTTATAATAAGCAGACAAAAGGGAAGCCACCCTGTGCCTAACCCATTTCAGTTCTCAACATACTGTTTTCAGATTATCACTCCCTTGGTGGCTGCTGTTTTTGTTGTTTTATGGTGCTGGGGACCACCACGAGATGATATTAAAGAAAACAGAGGAAGCTGGTACATAATTTCCCATGAGTACTCAAAAGAAAAACACCAAATCACCCTAGCATGTTAAGAAACCCACTTCCTTCTCGCACTGTTCCCCTTCAGTGGTTTTAAAAGGAATGCCTTTCTGCTGAGGGGTAGGCGCATAAATGATGGCTTTCTACTTAAGCAAGTAAGAAATATTAGAGGATTACGTGGATAATTGGGTTCTCTGGTTTGGACTCTGGAGGGTCCTCGGTAGCCTGCTCTTAATGTTGCTGGAGGAAGGAGAAACTATTATTTTACAGATGATTTAGACTGATGCACAGAGGGTTTCAGCACTTGCTCAAGTTCACACATCTGTTACATGGTGGAGCTAGGATCTGAATCCAGCTACTAGCTCAGTTGTCATTTTAATCTCCAAACTCACCTTATTATGCAAGCAATATAAGCTTCCCAGAGGGCCCAGCCCAGCCTCTCCCACCCTGATTCTGCCCTCTGTGTGCCCCCTGCTGGTCTCCAGGAGAAGTGTTTCTCCTGAACCAGAGAAATTGACCCCAAACCCTCCTGTTTTCTTAGCTCCTAGTAAAACGGTGGGACCCTTCTGGCTCCCCCTCTTCTGAAACCCCAAATGAGTCCTCTTGGAGGTACTATCTGATGCTTCACTCTTCAGGGATGAGAAGGGCTTGGGAGTGAAGAGTTCTTCTCAAGATTGATTAGGCAGCATGAAGCAGCCCGAGTGGGCAGGAAAGCAGTAAGCACCTAGACTGATAGCACATCTCTTGATAGCACATCTCTTAAGGTCCTCCCCACTCTGTGGTCAGAGGAGCAGCAACGTGATCACCACCCAGGAGCTTGTTAGAAATGCAGGCTCTGTGGCCCCACCCAAAGCTGATGGATCAACATTTGCATTTCAACCAGATCTCTAGGGGATTCTCCTGCAAAGCACCCGTTGAGGCTCTGCATGTTTTTGCAGTAGATTTAATTTTGACTTTGTTTAAAAATCACAATGACAAGATTTCAACTGGATTCAAACCCTAGCTCCATGATTTAATAGATGTAAGACCTTAGGCATGAGCTTAGCCTTGGTGAGCATCCATTTAAATCATCTATAAAATGATGAAAAGCAAAACTGTTCAAATCTTCAACTCTCAGGACACTCTCGTCCTAAATCTGAGACCCAGTAATTGCACAGAGTCTCCTAACAGCATCGTGATTTACCTAGTCCTATTGCTTAGAAATGTCAAGCTCTGATGGTGACCTTAGCTCTATGTTCCCCCAGAAACTCACAAGATCCTTTCGTCAGCAAGTTCTCTGCTCACTGGAGAGTAGAGACGGTGGAATTGTCTTGTCCTTGTGCTTGATCCTCAGAAATCAAACGACCATAGAAATGTCACGAAAGAGACTTCTGGGTCCTGGGGGAAAACTTCCCCGTCACCACAGTGAAATTTTTTTCCCCTCCCTGGAGTTATAAGAAAGAAAGATGCCCATTGGGCTGAGTGACTCAGACATCCACCTTCTGAACGAGAGGCTGGGTCAGAGATTTTTTCAAAATCCCTTCCACCTTGATGTCCTATGTGCTTCGATTTACAAAATGGCCTTGATCTTCTCTGATAAACATTCCACTTAATAGAATCACACCTAAAAAGAAAATCGCTGTAGGACACAGAAAACCACCTGCGTAATGTTTTCTGTTTCTTCCTCTTAATTAGCTTTCCTGTTCTCTCTTAGGAAAACAAAAGCTCTTTCTCCTGATTCATTCTCCCCCCCACCCCACCTGCACACACACCATCACAGTGACGAGATTCCTACAGAATCAAAAACTGAAGCCTTGAAACAACCTGGGGACCCTCTGCCTCTAGAATGAAAAGAACTTAGAAGGGCCTCATACTAGGAAGAGGAGGTAAGTGCTTCTGATGAAAATATGTCTTCTTCAAATTATGAATGGGAAAAAAATTGCTGGGGTGATTAAGTTGTGCCAAGTACTGCAGGGGATCCCACGTGAATAAAATTGAGTTCCTGCCCTCCAGATTTACAATCTAGTGGGAAAGGCATAATGTAATAAAAATGCTGTCGTGGAGATGTACTCAGAATATCAAGGGCCAGAGACAAAGAATGCCTGGAGAAATGGGAGGGCTGTTTTGTGGAAGACCCGGCCTCAGAGGCAGCCCTTGCAAGGAATGTTGGGATGGGATGAGCTGATGAGGCATGCATAGGCATTCCAAGCCCAGAGACCAGCCCAAGCAGAGAAGTCGGGGTGGAGGTCAAATTCTGAGAATGGCAAATTATATCTGGGAAACAAGGCAGCAACGGGAAGGCAGTCTAGACATCGCCAGGAAGGTAGGCTGGGTTGAGTTTCTCCCTCTGTAAAATGAGAGTGCAGGCCCTAAGTATCTCCTCTAAGTAACCATTCCAGATTTAGGGTATGGTTGCAGGAGGAGGACCCCAAAGCCATTCTGCAGAGTTCTAATTTTGAGAGCCTAAAGAGCCAGGGGAGACTTTTCTGGTAGGAGTTGTGCTCTGGGAAGCTCCCTCAGGGAGGGATGCATATGTCAGAGTTACACATGATGTTAGTCAGTCTGTTACTGTCACAAAATACCTGAGACAATGAATTTAATAAAAAAATGTTTTCTTTGGCATACAGTTTTTGAGATTTCAGCCCATGGTTGATTGGCCGAGTTGCTTTGGGCCTGTGGTGAGGCAGCACATCATGGCAAGAGTGCATGGTAATGGAGACGTTTTTCAACTCATGGTAACTGGGAGGCAAAGAGAGAGATAGGAAATTGCTGGGATCTCAATATCTCCTTCAGGAACCTAATTTTCTCCTGCTAAACCCCATTCTACCACTTCCCAACAGTGCCACGGGCTGGAAACCAAGCCTTCAACATAGGGGCCTTTGGGGAACATTCAAGATCCAAACCCTATCACCCACTCTGGGAGGTGGTTGCTTTAGTGGCCCAGGCAGGAGACAGTGGAGCCTGGCAGCAGAGGCGAGGCAGCAGAATGGTAGGGTAGGGGAATCACTGCCAGAGATCCCGGAGGTGAAATTCATAGCATTGGCCACCAACTGCATTGATGCCATCCTTGAAGCTTCTTCCTGTGGGGACTTAGGAAAGCCACTTATTTGATTTTTAAGGATATATGTACTGAAGCAGAAACAAGGGTCCATGACCAACAATGAGTTCGAGGCAGTGTTTGGCCAGTTCAAAGGGATTTGGAAAGGTTGTGGTGCATATGTTGTGCATTTAGGGGAAATGCTGCAGATGCAGAAAAGGATATCTCAGGGTGTGTTCAGGGGAAGAAGCAAGGAACAAGCTCACTCTCAGAAGCAGATGATATGATACAAACAGGTATTCCCTTCAAGTCATGGTCCAAGTGAGATGGGGCTGCCCTGAATGGGCCCAGATCAGTTCATCCAAGGGACCCAGAGAACCAGCACACAGCTCTCAGCACCTGGGCAGCCATCTCTGCAGGTCCAGGAAGAGGAAGGGAGGCCCCCCCCACCCCCCTGGCAGAACACAAGCAAATTCATTCATTTAGCAGATATTTGCCAACATAATACCTTCGGAGTGCTAGTGATGGCAGTAAACCAAACAGAACAAGCAAAAGAATTCTAATTCACAAACAGGGACACAGGTGGGACTCTCAATAGAAGCCGGGGAGTTTGATGACAGTTGTAGACAAATTTCTAGAGGAGATTTAGTGGATGGTCTGCAGCTCAGGGAACCCTGCACTGCGTACGTTCACTGCAGCAAGGTCACATGCATCCTGACAGGGTTTCCAGTTTCTACCAACTCCAGGAGGAAATTTGGTTTGGACAGCATGTCTCCCCACCCTCACCCAGTGCTCATGGAACAAAGACTAAACATAAAAGGGACATTTCTCACTGGGCTAGACTTAATAGTCATGTTTTGTGTTATAGAATCATCGTAAACACTTAGAGAAGCAAACAGAACCTAATGAGACCAGCTAGCGTCAGTAAATAAATCAGCCATTCTCCTGAGCATGCTCCAGTGCCCAGAAACTTAATGTGCTGATCTCCGAGTCCTGTTTATAGAACTGTAGGCAGTTGCCAGACTTTTACCCTGCTGTGCTCGTCCTTGGTGCTCACAGAAGATGCTAATGCTTGCCGCTGCTCGGCGTGATGGGTCTAAGTGTGGGTGTGGAGCGTGCTTTCCATTTTGCTTGCATGAAGTCGCCTTTCCCCAGGCATGGGGTGAGCGCCTTTTGCACTCAGGTTTGCATGAGTGAGCCGCCCTCTCTCACCACATTAACCTTAGTGTGAAGTGCGGAGGCCCAGCCTCCTCTGCTTGACTTGAGTGCCCCTCCCAGTGTGGTTGCAGGGTGCTGCCCCAGGACTGCTACAGAGCTCTCTATGGGCATTGCTGTCCCAACACAGGCAGCCACACAAGTGGCCAGTAGAGGGCAGCAGCACGCTCCCTCCCAGTCAGGAGCTGGAGCTGGGCCTCCCTGGGCTGCTAGACCTAGGAGGCAAAGCCAGCTGCTTCTGGGAGAGGCAACACAGGAGGGGCTGACAGTGTGGATCACTCCTGAGGGAGTGAGAGAAAGAAGGGGCTTAGTGAAGTTGTGTGGAAGGCACACTTGAGCACTGCACTTTTGTGAGGGCACCAACACTCATCATATGGATCTTATTGCCAGAACTCAACCTCCATCCACTTAGGGTTCAGGGCACTTCTTTCTTTTTTTTTGTAATTTTTGTTTTTGTACCAAGGATGGAACCCAGAGGAGCTGAACCACTGAGCCACATCTCCAGCGCTTTTTGTTTTTTTATTTAGAGACAGGGTCTCACTGAGTTGCTTAGGGCCTCACTAAGTTGCTGAGGCTGGCTTTGAACTTGCGATCCTCCTGCCTCAGCCTCCCCAGGTGCTGAGATTACAGATATGTGCCACTGCTCCCACTCCAGGGCAGTTCTAAGGCCATCAGGAAGGTGCCATAGTTCAAATAAAGACATGAGAGAGCTGAGAGGAGACGGCTGTGTTGAAAGATCTCAACGTTTCAAAGGAGGAATTATGCCAACAAGAAATTACATAGAGATAAAATGGACCTTTGTATGGACATTGAAGAGGACAAGGACTGAGAGGGTGACCTGCTGGGAGCCAGGGCCAGAGTGTTTTGTGATTAAAGGATTCGATCACAAGATGAGCAGACGATGACTGTGAGGTGGGCTGAGGCAGGACCACTGCACAAAACAGCTTGTACTGCCATACAGGAGGACTTAGGCATAGAGGGTGATGCACTGCAGATGAAGCTGTGTGCTCTTAAGTAAGTTGCTTAACTTCTCTGAGCCTCAGTCTCCTCATTTGTAAAATGTTGTCTACAATGATAAGAGGACTCTAAAGCTTCCCACTGTATGATATGACAGTGATTAGCATTCAGTCTTCATTCAATATCCACAGGCAGTTGGTTCCAGGACCACCCACAGAAGCCAAACACATCAGATGCCCAAGTGTCTTGTATAAAATAGTGTAGTATTTGCATGTAACCTACACACACCTCCCACATACTTCAAATAATCTCGTATGAATTAAAATGCCTGATATATTGTCAGTGCTGTGTAAAGAGTTGTTATACTATATTATTTAGAGAATGACAGTAAGAAAACCATCTGAACATAGTCAGTGTGGGTGCTGGGTTTTTTCCCCCCAAAATGTTTTTGGTCTACGGTTGGTGGAATCCACTAATGCGGAGCTGGAGGACACAGAGGGCCGACTGTATACAATTCCGTCTTCCCTCCAGACTCTAGCCTAGCGGTTCTCAGATGTGAGCATGCATCAAAATCACAGTGCCAGGACCCAATCCCAAAGCTTCTGATGCAGGGAGTTGGGGTGGAATCCAAGCATTTGTGTTGCTCTCTAGATGCTCTTGCTGCTGGCGGGGGGAACACACTGTGGACATTACTATTCCACAACCTGTAGAGACTGTGCACTCCTGGTGGGCAAGGGTGCCCAGTATCTAGTGCAGTGATTGACATAACTCAGACTAGGAAGAGTCTCTGTAGAATAAATAGAGGTGGTGTTGAATGAAAACAAAGTCACATCAGTACAGTCTTGAAACCATGGTGGTTAGTGGCAGAAGCTAGAATTGTACCTGGGGACCAAACTCTGAGGCTAAGGGCATGCAGTCACCCAGCTGTTTTAATGAAACTAGAGTCAGAGGCTGGAGGGACTGGGGCCCTAATAAGGTTTTGGACTTGTTCCAACCTGTTGGCTTGTTCAGTGGGAGGCTTTATTATGGTGCATCTAGAGAAGGTATTTGCCATGAGAGATTTCCCCTGGTCCACTGCCCTTCAGCCTTCTCAAGGCTAAACCTGCATTCCATACCCACATGAGAAACTAGTCCAGTATTTTTATTGTTATGTGAACTTTGCAGGAACTCTCCCAGGTCCCCATTTGGAAATCTACAAAATCTTTCTCAGATATTGAGTCCTCTAAGCTTGGTGCTCTGGTGGTGCCCGAGGTTGACCTGGTACCTGCCAGAAGAGACATTTCTCTGTAGCTTACCACATGACCACAGCTAGCCTGGGACCAGTTCAGACCTGGGGCCCTGCCGAGGATCCTATTCCTGGTATTATTTGTTAGGGATCAAGCATTACATGAGTATAGGAGCAGCTCTGGCTCAACCCAAGGCATTCACAGGCCAACTGTGGTGTCCAGGGAGCAGGGAACCCCCAAAATGTAGTCTATGTATGTTTGCTTCTGATTCACCATGGTCCGTACCTCGGGAAGCTTAGGCGAGCAGCTCTGTTGTTCAGGCAATTAAGGGAAGAAAGGGAACCTGCTGCACTAATGGCTGGGATTAAAGTAAAATGGATTCACTTCAAATGAAAGAGAGACTGACCCTTCTCCCTCTGGTCTTATTATCTTAATTAACAGTGGCTGGCAG